CCCCTGTTAGAGAGCTTCTTAAGAGCTTTTGTGGCAAGTAGTAACCAGGTTAGGAAGATTTTTTTGGGCAGGTGTGTTAATGATGTATTAAAGTAGTTGATAAGGAGAATCATTGATCAGTTTGACATGTTTTCCAATCAGCAGAGGAGTTTCCAGGACACATTTATTTGGAGGCATCTGAAGAGCACTTCCTTATGTAATTTAGGCATACTTACTGGTACCTAACTGTAAGAACATGTAAATGCTTTTTCATTCATTCATTTAGTTCAAGTGTGAGGAGGGATGGGTAGCTCCTCAGAGGGAGTGCTAAACAGAGAAAAAAAAATATATGCAGGCCAAAGTTCAAAGGATAAGACTGTCCTCATTGGAGGAGACTGATTACTAAATGCTCTGTGACCTTCTAAGGGGAGGAGTTGATAAAAGCATGGGAGAAGATAGATCTTGGTCTTCTGACTTGCAGCTTCCAGAAAGAAGATGCAAGTTTCCAAGTTCTCTTTAGTTCCCTTAAGGGAGAGAAAGACCCTGGGATGAAGCTGACATGTAGAGGAGCTAGCACCCTAAACTTGTCCCTATCCTGAGCTTACTAGAGATTTCCAGGGAATTTCCTTTTCAGTGAGATCTGGGACTCAATCTCTTAATTATACTGAGATCTCAATGGAAGAATTCATTCACTCTATGTAGTGTCTGGTATGTTTTCTTTTTCTTTTTGGCTAGGCAATTGGAATTAAGTGACTTGCACAGGGTCACACAGCTAGTGAGTGTTATGTGTCTGAGGCCACATTTGAACTCAGGTCCTCCTGAATTCAGGGCTGGTGCTCTATCCACTGCACCACCTAGCTGCCCAATGTCTGGTATATTTTCATCTTTATGTCTTCCCTGGTTTCTGTAAGCTATAGGCTTTAATGAGTTTATTTGCTATTTGCTACTTATCTTTGTGAAACTGGCACTTGATGGGAAGGGAATCAAGACTTGGATATACAGCTTGGGGTACTCCTTCCCCATTAAGGAATAGCAATCAGGAGCTCAGCTTGAACCCAAAAATCATTTCCTGTATACTAATAATATTTAAGGGGGCAGATAGACACAATTCTGTCTTGGTACCCCCTCTTTCTGATGAGAACAAAGTAGTCAGCCTTTGGCCCCAACTTTCTGCTTCCCTTCCTGGCAAGAATCAAAACCTCCATTGGAGAAGGGTGAATGGGGACTCCAGAGATCTGTTCATGCCTCCCTTCCAACCACATTTAGAAAGACCCATGTGGATACACATAAGTCACATGGGTAACACGCAGCACAAACATACTGCCTGTACACACATGAATCATGCAGAGGACTCATGGAAGTAAGCAACTAGATGTGCAAATACATAAAGCCTCTCTTAAAAAGGGAACTGAACTTGGAATTGACATTAAGGCAACTGTTTGACATTCTGGTGGATCCCTAACTCTCCCACTCTGATAGTCTGGAATTCTCTTCATAAGGCAAACATACTTCAGGACTGCTGAGCAAACAACTTCCTTCCCAATGAACCTGCAATTTCCAAATATCACTGGCTTTGTTCTCCAAGTAAAACAGTGCTCTGGAGCTGTTTGGATTATTCTCTTCCTTCTCCAAGGACCGAACTGTGGGAGGAAATCCCTTTGTCTTTTTGGAAGGTCTGATCTTAGAATTCTCCAATTTGGAACCCTTGAACTTAGGGTGACCCATACGATGACTTTTAAGGGTGGAATCAGCATTTTAAGACTCACCATCTAGTTCCCATGTACCTTTTCAGACTCTTTTCACAATAATCACCCTTATGTATTCAATGTTTCCCTACATGCACATTCTATCTTCTGCCTCCACATCTTTATATAAGTGGCTTTCCAAGCTCCCTCCTCATCCCTACAGCTTCCTTCAAGGGTGACATAGGTCACTTGTATCTGTGACTTCTGTCCCAATCTTCTTAGTTGGAGTTCCAGCACTCCATTACTTACATTGTATTTGCTCATCTATGTAAATGTTGAATCTTCACCCTCCAGATAAAAAATAACGTAGGCCTAAATGTGGAACTGGAGAGAAGGAACTGAATTGGACTTGAGAAACTTAGGAAGAATCAAAAGAACTTGGTGATGAGATCAAGAGAGAAGGGAAAGGAAAGTAACAAGGTTGATTAAGAAGGGGATCTGGACACGAGTAGACTATAAACTCCTTGAAGGCAGGGACTTTTTTCTCTTTGTTTTTGTATCATCAGCATCTAGCACAGTGTCCCACACATGTAAGCACTTTAAAAAAAAATACCTGTTGAAAACAAAAAGGAAAAGGACCTACATGTACAAACATATTTATAGCAGCTCTTTTCTATGGGTAAAGAATTAGAAGTTGAAGGGATGCCCATCAATTGGGGAATGGCTGAACAAGTTGTGGTATATGAATGTAATGGAATACTATTGTGCTCTAAGAAATGATGAGGGGCAGCTAGGTGGCACAGTGTATAGAGCACAGGCCCTGAAGTCAGGATGACCTGAGTTCAAATCTGGCCTCAGACACATAACACTTACTAGCTGTGTGACCCTGGGCAAGTCACTTAACCCCATTGCCTAGCCCCAAAAAAGAAAAAAAAAGTGTAAAAAAAAAAAGAAAAAAAGAAATGATGAGCAGGATGCTGTCAGAAAATCCTGGACTTACATGAGCAAAGTGAAATGTACTGTGTACAAAGTAACAGCAATATTGTAATATGATCAGCCATGAATGACTTAGCTATTCTCAGCAATACGGTGATCCAAGACAACTCTGAAGAACTTATGAAAAATGCTGTCCATCCCCAGAGAAAGAATTGATGGTGTCTGAATACAGATTGAAGAAGACTTTTTTAATTCTATTTTTCTTGAGTTGTTTTTCTTTCATATTTTTTCACAACATGACTATTATGAATATGTTTTGCATAACTACACATGTATAATCTATATGGAATTGCTTGCTTTCTCAATGGGGAGGGGGGAGGGGGAGAGAGGAAGGGAGAGAATTTGGAACTCAAAGTTTTAAAACCAAACGTTAAAAATTGTTTTTACATGTTACTGGGGGAAAATAGATTACTAAATAAAAGCTTAAAAATAAAAGAAAAAAATACCTGTTGAATTTAAATAAAACATTAACTTGGGGAGAGGGAACGACACTTTTAGCTTAGGCCTAAGCATCTCCAGATGGGATGTTGCTCAGCTGTGTCCGAGTCTTCATGATCTCTTGAACCACAGCACGCCAATACTGTTTGTGGGGTTTTCTTGGCAAAGATACTGCAGTGGTTCGCCATTTCCTTCTCCAGTGGATTAAGGCAGACAAAAGTTAAGTAACTTGCCCAAGGTCACACTACTAGAAAGTGTCTGAGACCAAATTTGAACTCAGATCTTTCTGACTCCAAGCCCGGCACTCTATCCACTGAGCCATCTGGTTGCCTCTGATATGAGTATCCCAGATGGGATGGTAGTACTCAGATACTGGATTCAGAGAAGTACAAAGAAAACTTGCTGAGCTCTTCCCTCTTGCTCTGAAAGGACTTATAGCTTAGTGAGGCTGGGGGAATGAGAAGGGAGGTGACATACACATAAAGGATAGCATAGGCTGCCTTGCTATATTTAAGAGCCATTTGAGTGGATGAGACTATAACAGCAATAGAATTACAGACCAGGAGTTTACTGAGGTTTAGGGTGAAAGGGAAGAAACCTGAGCTAGGGCTAACAGGAAGGTTAAGATTTAGCAATATGGAGGGATGGGTAAGAGGTCTAAATACGGGCAAGGGAGACAAGGATGGAAAAATGGGAGGGTTATATGGTAGATGATCTCAAATTCAATTCAAATATTCAATTCAAAAAATATTAAGGGCCGAGTATGTGCAAGGCCCCAAGCTAGGTTCAGGGGATGCAAAATTTAAAAATGACTTGGTTCCGGGCCTTCCAGGCGTGGAAACCTAGGAAGGCAGACAAATTTACAAAGGGAATGGTGGAAGAGATCCAAAATAATGGTGTGATATTTGAGAGGAAAGAGATATCACTTATGGGTATCTCCCAAACACCAATCTTCCATATCTACTGAATAGGTTTATTCCCTTTTCCTATTATTTCTGTATCTAGGCCTTGGCTCCTACCATTTCCACTTCTAAGCTTATGCTCACATTTAGACCTCTTCCCCATCCCTTCATGTTGCTAAATCTTAATCTTCCTGTTAGCCCTAGCTCAGGGAAGATTTTATGTAGAAGATGACATGTCAATAATTTTCAGCTGGTACAAATGTGGGATTTACCATTCTAGCATGTATAAATTATGAAGGGGGTGGGGGGGAAAGGGAAAATTATAATTAGGGAAGAGAATAGGTGTAGTATGACTAAGACTAGAAAACAGATTGCAGAGTGCCTTGAAAGCTAGACTAGGTTTGTATTTTATTCTATAGAATGTGAGGGCCAAGGATTTTGAGCAGGGAGATGAGTGTCTTGATTAAACCTTGATAAGGAAAATTACTTTGGCAGTGGTGTTCAAAGAAGGAAGAAACCAGAGCCAGGGAGATAAGACCAGTTGCAATAATCCAAATAAAGAATAATACAGGCCTAACCTAGTCTGGTGGTAATAGAAGTGGAAAGAAAGGGACTGAGCTGGGTTTGAGAAACATGAGGAAGAATCAATAGAAGTTGATGATGAGATCAAGAGAGAAGGGAAAGGAAGGTAGCAAGGTTGACTGACAGGGAGATCTAGAGATGAGGGCACCACTGTCAAATATGAGGAACCTAAGAAGGGTAATTACTGTAGTTTCAAGAGAAAAAACCCATGATTTCAGATTCAGACATCCTGTTCCATTTCTCACTTACGCTCCTCAAGAGTGAAGACTCAATTTCCTTTATGTAGCTGGGGTTTCCCCTTAGGTGAAGACACTACCTCCCCCACGAAAGTGAGAATCCTTCAGAACTGTTTTTCTCTATTATTGCAGATTAAAGACCAGAACAGGTGAAGGGATTAAAATAAGGATATTTAGTGACAACATGAGGAGAAAAATGCCAGGGAAGGGGAGGGGTGTCTTTCTCTGAGTGGGGATATGCATGAATACACATACACCTACATCTATGTATATACCTTGTTAGCTTTAAAACAAGGTAATGTCACCCCCAACCTGGGGAGAGTTTTCCAAAGAAGGTTGAATCTGCAAAGAAGGTTGAATCTCCCAGAATCTGCCAAACCCATGAGAGCTAAGGAGAGAGAGGCTGGAGATGACTTTGGGGACAATGTTCCCGGATGATTTTTCAGGGACTAGGTGAAAGGGGTTCTGGGGGGTGGTATGGGGGTGTTTTCCAACTGTATTCATCTGAGTCACAGAGTAGTGGCATGTGAGGGGGTGGGGAGTTAGGTACGTGTGTGGTCCTTGGAGGTTGGGAGTACTGAGTCAGCCAGACTGAGTCAACAGAGACCTTGAAGGTGGAAACTGGGGGGAAGGTCTTGGAATTTCCTCATGAGGATCACTCTTCGAGGAGGGATCTGGACCTGGAGGAAGGTGATAAAAGGAAATAGGAAGAAATAAAGATCAGTTTGTGATGGGATAGAATATGGTAATTAGAATGGCACTTGCCCCATATTCCCAACCTCAGTCCCATTCCCCAGCTCACTCTACTACACAGCTGATGAAACCTAGAATTAATGAGGCAGCTGAAAGAGAAAGGAGCAGGATCCTGGCTTCCCTTAGGTCCTGTCGTCCTGTGGCAAAGAGGGTGGAGTGAGAGAGTTGCAGGGAAGCAGAGGGACCCTTGGTGCCCCCTTTTGAAAGGTAAGAGGATGGTGGGAATCTATTGGAAAAGGAATTAAAACCCAGATAAAAGTTTGAGGGCTATGTGACTGGGTCCCCAAAGGCAGAAGCTTCCGGAAAGGGTGGACAAGGTACTTAGACGTGAGGCTGACCTGGGAAGCAACGCTTGAGAGGCCAGCAATGAACCTGAACAGCTTTGCACGTGGAGCAGTTGTACAGGATAGTCCTTCCACCTGGAAGTCACAGTGGGGACTGCAATGTTGGCTGGAGGTGAGAGGTCAGAAGGAAGCTAGCCCCCTCCCTCCGAGGGCCTCAGTCATGGGGATGAAGATTTGGAGGCAGTCTCCTGGGAACCTCTGATTGTCTCCTCACCCTCTCCACCCAACCTTTCTTCTCCTCAGAGATCCAGGTGGTCAAACTACCCCTTTGCTCTTAATTCATATGTTTCATACTCACAGCAGGCAGGAGGGCAGAGAGCTGGGAAAATCAAGGAGAAAAGTGTCTGTTCCCAATCCAAAACCCTCCTCCCACCCCCACGGTGCTTCACATCCATCAGGATTCCAGGTATCTCCCTCTCCCCATCCTCCATGCCAGATACCTTGCCTCATGTATTCAGGAAGTTTAGTCTCCTGAAGCCATTGCCAATAGGAGGGAAGAGAAAACAGGGAATCTTTGATTTCTGGGGAAAAGGGCAGCAAATAGTTTGTTTATAAACCTTCCCCTTGGCCCCTATTCTATATATCCTCGTTTCCGTTTTCCATCAGTGATTCCAAATCATTCCTTTTTCTTCAACTTCTCATTTTCTTTTTTCTTTCTTTCCTTTTTTTTTTTTTTTTGGCGAGGCAGTCAGGGTTAAGTGATTTGCCCTGGGTCACACAGCTAGTGTCATGTGTCTGAGGCTGGATTTGAACTCAAGTCCTCCTGACTCCAAGGAGCTTTATCCACTGCACCACCTAGCTCCCCCTCAACTTCCTATTTTCTCCCCATGCTTCTCTCCTCATCTCCTGTTCCCACACTTCTCCTTGTCCCCCATCCCTGGTACCCACTGTCTCCTTCCCCTTTCTCCATGCTCTCCTTTTATCATACTTCTTTTCCTCTTCTCTGATCACCAATCAACACTTCTTTTATTCCATGCTTTCTACTTATCATGTTTCCCAATGATTCATTCTCCCCTCTTTATCCACCTAATTTGCCACCTCTCCTTCTCACCAAGGACCATCATGACTCTGTGTGTCTTCTCTGTAATTCTATCCATGGACACACCATCTGGGGAAGAAGGGGAGATGGGAAAGGTATAGAGAAAGTTTTACAAATCCTGGAAGGTGGAATCACCCTCCAAGTGATCTAGTCTTCCTTCATGGATCCCCTGGGCCCACATTAAAAGTAGATCCTATAACAGGATCCAAGGGAAATCTTATCAACAGATTTATTGGGTGGTGATATGAAGAGAATTAGGGGCTTGAGGAAAAGAAGGAAGGACTGTTCTAACAGACAGCTTTCAGTTCAGATCCCTGAGAGATTTGGAGGAGATAGAATTGGGACTAGAGGACAGGATTCCTAGGTCCCACCTAAGGCAAAGGTTGAGAAGTTCCAGCTGGTTTTACAGTTTCCCCACTCTGAACTTATCTGGTCACAGAGAAGAGCCAGGCGTTCAGAAATGTCTCTAGAAGGGAGGCGGCAGAAGATACAGGCTTGGGAGGTGCTTAGGAAAAGGTAGCCAAGGATTAGGAGCCCCATGAGGACCAGAATGAGAACCTTGTTTGGAGTATAGGACACTTATTTTCTATGGAGGGAAGTACTTTGGAATATTCTGTTAACTTTGACTCTGGTGTCTTTATTCTTGGGTTCTAGAGCCCCAAGAGTGTTCCAGCTTGAAGGATAGCAGGAGTGGGGGTTGGGGTCTCAGAATGCCTTGGTCCCATACATGGTATGGAAGCCTAGATTTCTATAATCCCGGTACCTTATGTAACACTGATATTCTTTGGTTGTGTTGGTCAATGAATGATGCCTTCTGTAAGCCTATAAGGACAGTGTCACCATTAATTTTTCAGTGAGGGAGCATAATATTTTAACACAGTGCTTGGCATATAGTAAGTGCTTAATAAATGCTTGTTGTCTGACGAATTGACTGAATTGGCCAGCAGGTGTCCATCTATTTGAAACAAGAGCCCTGCTGTGTAAATCACTTTCTCAGGTGCATGGGGAAAAAAAATACATTCTTAAGACTGTAGCATTCTTGCCGGCCACGAGAGGGGGCGCGGCATGAAAAATCCTGTTCTGATCTCCCACAGCCAAGTAGGAAAAAGGAACGGAGTAATCATTTTTATGTTGCCTACGACCTGCCAGGCACTGTGCTAAGCACTTCACGAATATCTCATTTGATTCTCCCACCAACCCTTAGAGATACACACAGAAGTCCTTCAGCAGCAGCAGTCATTTTGTTAACCCTTCCCTGGATGGATCCAAAATTAAACTTGGGTATGAAATGAAATATCTTATAAAATATTAAAATATCAGTCAATCAGCAATAATTTATTAAATGACAGCTAAATGCCAGGCACTCTGTTAGATGACAAGATACAAAGATAAAACAAAATAGCGTCTCTGACCTCAAGGACCTTAAATTCTACTGGGGTAAATGATATTTACATTTCTAAATAAATACTATATACACACAGAGCTTTTCGTTGTTATTGTTTTGAACTGTGATTTCATTGGTATAGGGAGCTTCTAGGTAAGGAAGTATGCCCATGGAGGTAAGAATCTGTTCTAGGGGCAGCTAGGTGGCGCAATGGATAGAGCACTGACTCTGGATTCAGGTGGACCTGAGTTCAAATGCGGCCTCAGACACATAACACTTACTAACTGTGTGACCCTGGGCAAGTCATTTAACCCCACTGCCTAGCCAAAAACGAATTAAAAAAAAGAGTTGTATAGATAGTGGAAATGCAAAAAAAAAAATTTTAAAAAAGAATCTGTTCTGCAGCTTCTCAGAGAGGACAGTGGGAATGACTGCTTGTAGCGGGTGAGATTTTCTATCAGACCTCAGGGAAGGCAGGAGGCAGAGATAAGGAGGGACAGAATTCCAGGCAACAGGGACAACCAGGGGAAAAGGACAAAGCTGGGAGATGGAATGTGTTTCAGGGAATAGCAAGGAGGCTAGAGTTATGGATCATAGAAAGAAGTGATGTAAGAAGACTGGAAAGATAGGAAGGGATCAAGTTATAAATGGCTTTAAAAGCTAAACAGAGGATTTAGTATTTGATCCTGGAGAGTGCCAGTGAATGTGGGGTGGGAGTGATATCGTCAAACTTGCACGTTAGGATGATCAGTTTTATATAGCTGAGCAGAGGATAGACTGGGAGTGGGGAGAGTGTGTGAGGCTAGCAGACCCCCACCCCATCCCCAGCAGGCTATTGCAATAGTGCAGGCTTGAGGTGCTGAGGGCCTGCACCAGGGTGGTGGCAGTGTCAGAGGAAAGAAGGGAGAATATACAAAGGTGCAAGCAACAGGCAGAATGGATATGGGGGTGGGGTGGGGTAGGGTAAGAAAGAATGGGACAGATCTTATTCCATTTCCCTAGCCTGACTTCTGATTTTAGACTTGAATGAAGGGAGAGATGGTAATGAATTTCTCATACAAAGATGATCAGAAATTGCTCTATCAGTCACTCTCTGTGAATCATCCCTCCTCCCCCAGGTCTAGGGGAAAACAATTAATGAGAGAAACAGGGCAAGTAGGGACACAAGTTATACTTGTAAGCTCCAGGGCAGCCTGAAGATACTTTTGTGTATAGAGATGTAACTAGGATAGGGCAGCTGGAACTTTGTCTTAGGACATGGATAAAAAGGTACTCTTCCTCCTGGTAGAGGTTCAGAGACTACCATTCCTCTGTCTACTCTCTTACCTAGCTCTATCCAACATGCTCAACATTGCATCACTATAGCATCTCTCTCCAAGGGTCTCCCTCCCCAACCACTTAGGCCACTCCCTCCCTGGATAGAACTGCAAACATGGTCATACTGTCCTCTATCACCACTATTCCTTCTCCAAAGGTTTTTCTCCCAGGTGAAAAAATTCCTAGTTCCAGCTATGTAGCATATTCAGTTCCCAATACACCTCTTTGTATACCCATTCTTGCCCCTTTCCCCTTCCCCATAGACTTCACAAGTTTGCAGTGTAAAAAGTTTTAACTTTTATTATTTTTTAGGCATTTCTTATTTATTAGACATGAAACAATAAATAGTGACTCTTCTTGAAAAAGGATCTGTGCAAAATAGGAAAGTAAATATTCCATTTCCTTTTCCTCCCTTCATAAGTTTGTTGAATTAAATTTCTCTTCCAGCCCAGGGCTGCCCGGCCTCCCACTACAACGAAACCTAGCATCAGGACCATGGTTGCTGCAGCAACCAATAAATACCAAATATCCTCACCAGCCCAACTAGGCCAGTAGCTGTTGCCTCCAGGCTCTCTTAGAGATAGAGATACACAGAGACAGGTTCTGCTCATGTTGACAAAGGGTTGTGTCATATCATAGTCATATGACACCCTATGATTCAATAAGAAATCTTCTACCTGGCCACTGAATGCACACAAATGTCTGTGCCAATCCAATTATTTCACCGCTATAAATAGGTATTCTCCAGAACACGCCTAGACAAGCCAAAAGACTGGGAAAGGAGCAAAGTCAGAGTTCAAAAAACAAATGACAGGTTCTATTGCCATTCAGAGACATAAAGCACTGACAGACAGAGGAAGAGACTCCAAACCCCCTTCCACCTCAGCTCTCCCACTCCCTATCAGCATGAAATATGGGGATGGGGTAGGTTATGAGATCACCCATTAGTCAGTCAGTTAACCAGCATTTATTTCACCAAGTTTATGGATAATACTTGGATTTCCACAGCTCACCTTCCCCCCCCCAATCCCAACCCCTAACTTGGGATCCATTTAAGATCTTTTCTCTCAAGTCTGAATTCCAGTGGAAGACCATAGGGTGCCCCCCAAAAAACTTTCATAGTCCATAGAGGTAATCTGATCAAATCCTTTCTACTAAGTTGGAGGTGGGGAAGGAATGATTTTCCAATTTTCTATTTCTTCTCAGATTGAAGCTCTAGTCAAGAGATAGACTGGAAGTCCCCCTTAACTCTCACAGCTTCTACCTCCTCCAAGTCATTCTAGAAGATTCCAAGTCTCTTACCGATTTAAGAGGAGTACAGAGGGATTGCACTCCCAACTTTATAGACTTGCCTTTCCCCCCAAACCAAGTCACTATCCTTCAATGTCTGACAAAACGCAGTGATCGGGAGTTCAGCAGGTCTTCAGGGTCAGGGAAGACAGAGTCTAGTCGAAAGCCATGTTCCAGAGCCACCTGGAGCACTTCCTCCAAGAACCCAGATGTCCCTACCACCTCCCGCTTCTCACCAGCCTCTCCTACTACCCACAGTTGCTGCAATCCTAGACGTCGATACTCAACTTCTGGGAGCCCTTCCGGGCAGGGAGCCCATTCCAAACGGAAATGGGGACTTCCTTCTCCTCCTTCCCCTTCAGCAACTCCAAACCGGGCCCGAAGCACCCCAAGACAGGTGGAATCTGTGCAGAAGATATTGGCCCTAAAGGTGTCAACTCGGGCAGCACTGAGTTCATAGTGGTGGGGACCTCGACGAGCGGAGAAATGGACCAGTCTCGGGGTGGCATCCACATCTGCATGAAGCAAGGCAGCTGTGATCACTTCAGTTCCCTGGGTTACCTCCAATTCCCTGAGTGCGTCTAGTAGGGGTTGGATCTGGTAGAAATCAGCCTCAGCTCTCAGGAGTGCTGTCTCCCCATATCCCCTAGGCAAGTCCAGGCAGCCCAGGCGCAGGAAATTGAGGATGTGACGGAAGGCTTTACCATCCCTGTCGATAAAATAGTAGTTGCTACCCTGAGGACCAGAGTTGGGTGGCAGTGCTGCACCCTCTCTGAACATGGCCCCCAACATTGAGTCTGGGAATCGAGTCAGAGTTTCCAAGGTGGTAGCATACAGTGTTCCCCCCACATTCAGTGTCACAGGCCCCCCAAAAGAGGGTGCCTGGGAGGGCATTGGAGGAGGGGGAATTTTGAGGAGTAAGAGAGATATACTGATGGAGAGACGCTGGGTTGGGGGGGAATGGTGGAGGAACTGATTTATAGATTCCCACCAGCTGGCTTCGAAGTAAAGAATAGTTTAGGGGTACACAGCAGCTGCCTCCCTTGCACACACCGGCTATATTTGTAGCAGAGAATATTTTCAGGATGTAGAGAAGTTTGGGGATACGGTGCAGTCCTGGGATAGCCCTGTGGCTGATTTCAAGGACAAAAAGCAGTTTGGGGTGTACCTCAGCTGGTTTGGAATGTTGACCCAAATTAGTGACAGAGGCCAGCTAGTATGAAATAAATAGCTGGACTGTTGGTCCAGAAGTGCTGGATTCCGAGAACTCCAAGATATGTACGGAGGACTTTTCCTGGGGTACCTGAAGATTAAGTTTCAGGGTTCCAGCCGACAGATTGGTGGGACAGAGGCTGATTTCTGGGTGATCGGTGATGGAAATAGCAGTGCGGTCTTTTGGGGGAAGGAGTGGGTTGCAGAGGGTGTCTTCAGTTCCCAGCAGAGCATGTCCTAGAGCTGGCGTCGATATTTTGGGGAGCAGATCCAAACTCCTAGCGTTTCCAGTTCCAAAGTCAGGGAGGTGGGGAACCAGAGGGAGGCTGGAAGGGGCAGTGACTTCAGGGATGGTGTGGGGTGGCCAAGCCGTCCCTGCAGTCGTTTTCAGGGCTCGCTCCAAATTCGGCAGGGGTGGCAATGGTCTCAGAGAGACGGTCTGGGCCCTGAATTTCGGGGGCTGGGCCCAGGATGGGCTCCCCCAGCGTCTTCAGCAGGCTCGGTCCTCTGCTCTTCAGGAAGTAGAAGTAACAACGCAGACGTGACGGGCCCTTTAAGAGACAGGCCCATCCCCTCGGAGCCCTACCCCTCTCCACCTCCACCCTCACTCCCCGCCTCCCCACCCGGGCGGTGCTGGAATTACTACCCTTTTGGGGAAAAGGGCTGAGCTGGACTGTGTTGTCCTGCCTCTAGGATGGGGAGGGGAGGAGAGGCGGAAGGGACTAGGGAAAAGGCAGCATTTGGAACGCGGAATTCCCTGGAGGCTGGAGAGGAGGGTGCGGGGTAGATCAGACGCCTTCCCTCCCCCTTCCCCAAGCCTGGGTACCAAAGGGAAAGCAGGGTGGAGCACAGCGATTAGTCAGGGAAAAGCCTTCCCAAACTCTCTAACCAAAAGAGGGAAGGGCTGTTTCTGGAGGTGGGGGATTTCCGGTCATTAAGGGCTCTTCAGCACAGATGATTAGCATGCACTGAAGTTGTGCAAGGCGGTTCTTATTTCTGCTACGGGTTGCTTAGGATGGCCCCTGTAGTTCCTTGAACGTGAGACTTAGGCCAGCAACACCGATGGCTCGGTCTGACTAGGAACATCTGAGCACCCACGCCTGGAGGCTGCTCTTCGCCCCCCTACCCCTAAGGTTATAAAGAGCTTTAAGTTTTAGATTGCAGTGGCTGGAGCTAATGTTCTTGGCTTCTGGAAAGTTCCCCTGGGGAAGACAGGGAATTCAAGTAGCCAGAATCGCTGAGACTTCACATTCCGAGTGTCTTGGGAGGGCGGGGTCTGGGAGACTGGGAACGCCAGTCTTGAAACTAGCCCTGGAAATAATAGTACTCCTACGGAGGAATAGGGAAGGTAAATGCCGGAGCCTCTAGAAAAAGGGAGAAAAAAAACTGGGATTGGATGCCTGAGCTAGCTGGGTCCCCCTCTACTTCTAAGAGCTGGGGGAAGGCTCACCTACCCTGGAGGAAAGGGTTAAGTTCCTTCCTGGCTAACCAGTCTGGTGACATTTCAATACCCTATATGCTTCACCTTAGAACTAAGGGTCTTCTGAAACATCCTGAGCTGGTGGGTCTCTGTCATGAGTCTCCCAAATCTACCCACAAATTCCTTGGCTCCATGTGGGTCTTTTTCCCCCCTTCACTTCTATCCCTCCCTCAATTCACACCACTCCACCCCCAGCCCCAGTACAGTGGAGACATGTTGGTAGCTCAGAGAGCATTTTAATGTGAATGATTCCAAAGGGAGGAGGTTGGGGTTCTAGCTCTTTGGTTCAGAGTGTGTGCAGATCGTGGCTTCGGCGGCTCAACTTCTCTGGATCATCAGAAGCCATGAGGGAGAAGTCTCGGAAAATGTCCAGATATGTTTCATCTCCTAAGGTGAGGAAGATGGGAAGGAAGAAAAAGAAGCTGGAGGCTGAGGTACTTTGGAATTTCTGAGGATTAGAGCTGGAGATATATCCAGGGGCTAGGCAGCCAGAAGCCTGGATTCACAAAAGGAATGGGGTCCAAAGGAGAAGGACACACAGTTCTGGGGGCTGTTAGCTCACCTGCCTGCCCTTGGGCCACTTCGACTTCTCTCATCCTTGCCAAACGTAACCTAAGGCCAGAGGGAAGGAATTGGTTGGTTCACAGCCCCTCCTTAGCTCCCATCCTTCTAATTCATTAGCTCAGGCCACATGCCCTATACTGTCCAGACACTCATTGCCTTCCTCAGAACCTGTTCCCTTCCCTGAGCTGGGCCTCTGCCTCATCCTATCCTCTGGTCCTCCTCCATCCATTGCCAGTCCTACATACCTGCACTGTTGTAAGTTCCAGCTGTTTGTACAGTCTCCCTCCCCTCCACCCAAAGTCAACAGGTTCAACACTGAATTCTTCCTGAAGCCAGCTCCTTCTTCCCACAGCTACTCCATTTTGTAACACTTAGATCATTTCAACAACCCCCTTCCCATACCTACCCACACTAATAAATTGCCAAGTCCTGTAGCTGCCTCCAGTGAAGTATCTTTCCAATTTTACTGCCACCCCACAGTTCTTGACCTATTTATCTTGGGCCTGGGCTACCATAATAATAATCCCCTAGCCCCTTCCTCAGGCTTCTTTATTTTCCACATTATGCTCAGAATAAGCTTCCTAAAGTCCAGGTAGGAACAGGCCACTTCTCTATCCAAAAACTTTCAATAGCTTCCCACTGTTTCATGAATAAATTCTCAGCTGCATACCCCAACTGCACTCTCAGCCTCTGGCAATCAGACCCTAACCTATGTTTTTAGCTTTATACTATACTCTATTGCACATAATTTCATTGTTTTCCACACCTACCTTACCTGCCTCTGTGTCAAGGCCCTCAATTTGCTTGCTGTTTTCTTCTCCCCTATCTCTATTAAATAAAATCCTATCTACCCTCTAAGGCCCACTTTAAATGCCATCTTCTCCATAAGTCTTCCCTGATCCCAAACTCCCCTCTCTCCCCTCCCCCAAACTAGGGAGTGCTTTCTCCCTCTTCTGAAACCCTGGAGCATCTTACTTTCCTTCCAGTTTTGTATTAGTGGAAAACTGGACTTTGGAGTCAGGAGACCTAGGTTCTAGTCCTGGTTGGGCAAATGTCATTTCTGTTTTCTGAGTTTCTTACCTGGCAAAGTAGGGATAACGGCACTTATTCTCAGCAACTAATACTGGGTAGGTGGTGTGAGGGTCAAGTGGAGCAACTATGAAGTGGATTTGTAAAGTGTGATAACTGTGTGCCCAGCACAGTGCTGCCACTTTCCTTACGCAGAAAAAGACGAATGGAGTGAGTTATAAGCTCTGAGTCCACTGCGGTGGAACTGGAGTCAAAGGACCTGGGGTCCAAAACTCTGGCTGTGTTCCAAGATCACTACACTGTTCTGGGCCCATTTCCTCATCTAAAAATGAGTGGGGTGGATATGATGAGAATCTCCTTCTCTCTTTGCTCCTCTTGTTTCTTTTTTACCCTCCTCCTCAAAAACTTCTTCCTAAAAGGCTTTACATAGTGTAGTGTTTTCGTCATTGTAAGAGACAGTCACATGTTTATTGAGCTAAAATGTTAGACCTCTAAGTCTTATCTTTTCTCCTTCTTTCCTACATTCCTCCTCAAAACTCTGACCTCATGGGTCCCTGGGTCCCTTAAATCCAGGTTTTAAGCATTGGTTCTACCCCTTTCAGGCTCCAGTTTCATGGCACCATTCCAGTAATCTTCCCTCTGATCCTAGTCTCCTATGCCCTTTCCCAGATAGTCATCCTCAACTTCATGGCACTCACAGAGTGACGATATCTGCATTGGCTGTCTCCATGGCAATGGTCAGAGGGTCTTTCCCTTCAGAATCCTGAGCTCCAAGGTCTGCCCCTCGCTTTAGGAACAGACAGGCCAAGCTGAAAAGAAAGCAGAGATTCGGGTCATCCATTGCCCCACTCCTAACCTCCCTCCCAGCACTTCCATTTCTTAGCTGTCCACTCCCTTCCACCTGTTCTTTCCTCCCTTGGGTCCCTAGGACCCGAGTGTCCTAGCTTATACCCAGTGTGGCCGAGGATGGTGGCATGGTGGAGGGGGCTTCTCCCCATGCTGTCAGCCTGGTTCACGCTTGCTCCATTTTGGAGGAGAAATTCACAGGCAAGCAGGGAGTTCTGAAAAGAGAGAAGTAAAACGGGCAAAAAATAGATAACATCAGGGAGGACCTGGGGTGGGGTCTGGGAGAGGGGGCAGAATTGGAGATAGTAGGGGAGAAGCTGGGAAGAGGAAAGGTTGGACTACTACTAGCTGTATCCAGAATTTGTTCTGTCATGTCTTGCCTCCACGCACTTCTAAAAGTCCATCCTCCATGCCTGAAATGCAAATTCTCTCAAATCCTTTTTCTTCCTTTAAGGCTCAGCTCAGTTGGTAACTCCTTCATGAATTGTCTCTGCTTCTCTTGGCATTTAGCGCCTTTTCCCACCTCAAATTTGTATTTACTCATGTATATGCGATCTTGAGTGTTACGGGGCAAGGAGGGCAGGGAATGTCTCATTTGTCTTGTGACTACATAGTAACTACATAGTGCCTGTATATAGTAAACATTTATATATCATGCTTTGAATTGAAGAGAAGTGGTGGAGATAGAGAAGGTTTTGGGGAGAAAAGAGGAGGAGGATGCTGGAGGAAGTAATTAAGCTACAAATGCAAACACCGGAGGATGACCAGATATCTATGAACAGAAGCAACAGAGCTAGAGGACAGAGCTTGGGAAGACAATAAGAACTGTTATCTAGAAAATTACTTTTTAAAAGTCTGATGATGATCCTATTCTAGGATATTTTCATGAAGAGAGATGCCCTGAAGTACTAGAGACAGAGAACAGAATTTGTTGTTGAATCATTTCAGTCAGATCTGACTCTTGGTGACCCCATTTGGGGGTTTCTTGGCAAAGATATTGGAGTGGTTTGTCATTTCCTTCTCCAGCTCATTTTACAGATGAGGAAACTGAGGCAAACAGGGTTAAGGGACTTCCCCAGAGTCACCCAGCTAGTAAGTATTCGAGGCTGGATTTGAATTCAGATCCTCCTGACTCCAGGGCCAGTGCTCTCTCCACTGTGCCGCCTAGCTGCCCTAGTATAGAATAAAGAGTGTTAATTTGGGAATCAGGGGACCTGGGTTCAAAGCCTTCCTGCTTCTCTCATTCTTATTACCTGTATGACCCTAGGCAATTCAATTCACCTCCCAGGGCCTCAGTTTCTTTATCTATAAAATGAGGGAAGTTGAACTAAATGATGTCTTGAGATGGAGGATACTGTGTAAATAGGTGAGAATAGGATGCCAACAGAGGCTGACCTTCAGAGAGAGAATCTTTCTTTTCTTTTTTTTTTTAAAGACAATTGGGGTTAAGTGACTTACCCAGGGTCACACAGCTAGTAAGGGTCAAGTGTTTGGTCTGAGGCCAGAGAGAATCTTTCAAGCAGCTAGGTGGCACCATAGTGTGCACAGTGCTAGGCCTGGAGTCAGGAATCTTCCTGAGTTCAAATTTGACCTCAGATACTTACTAGCTATGTGATCCTGGGCAAGTCGCTTCACCCTGCTTGCCTCAGTTCATCTGTAAAATGAACTGGAGAAGGAAAGAGGAAATCACTTCAATGTCTTTGCCAAGAAAATCTCAAATGGGGCCACAAAGAGTGGGGACACAACTGAAAAACTGAACACTTAATGAAGATGAGAGATTTTATTATCTAATGTTGAATGAGATATGCTAAAACATAAAGGAAATTGTGATTTATGCAACAAATTTACCTAGCTTACAAAACTGAGCATATTTGTAAAAAGAGATGGTTCTTCAGTGAGTCAGAAAATGTAATTCTTTCCTGCTGAGGAATCCAGAACTGGGAAGGGCCTTTGAAATGCAAATTGAACAAGCAGGTGAAAATAAGGAAAGCTAGGCTCGAGTGCAAGTTATGAATAAAGGATGTCTAAAATGTTTCTTCCCTTTTCTCTCTTTTGTGTTTCCGTGACAAGCTGTGAGAACCATGGGGTTATACAAAGATGGAAGCTTGGCTCCCTGGAGAGGGTCCTTTACAATCCCATGGCTACAGGCATGACAACAGGTAGAATGGTGAAAATTTTGTTCCTGAACCAAACCAGGAGCTTTAGGACCAAGAATAAGAAGCAGAGGTAGAATGACAGACTTCACAGAAGCATAGATTTAGGGCCAGAAGTAACCATCATTTTACATATGAGGAAACAAAGCCAGATAGGTTAAGTAACTTTCCCAGGATCACACAGGAATTAAGTAACAGATAAAATTTGAACCCAGGTCCTCTGATTTTGTTCTTTTTACTGCCTTGACTAAGCCAAAGATCTGGTTTTTGCCATAGTTGTGGGAACTGGAGCCAAGGTAAGTATGAGCAAACCTTGACCTTGTCCTGAGTCATGTGGACTGCAGAACCAGGTTGGGGTTGAAATTGTACTTCCCAGCTGGAAGGGTCTTCAGCCTTAGAAATCTAGAGTATTAGGTAAATCCCTGGATAGGTAGAGGCCCACCAAATCAGAGAGCAGTGTTTGTCCAGCAATCTAATTGTTTTCCCCTTGCTCCTATCCAGTATGGGTCAAAAGGATTGTATAGGTCCCTGGGTAAGGCAGAGGTTCACAATGGGGAAAGGAGGGTTATCTTAATTATTTATGGGTTCAGGTATGAGTTCTTTGGATTTATTTATCAGGTAAATTAAAACCTGCCATAAATTTGATGGTTTTTTTTTTTAGCCGGAGTACTTGCATGGGAATGGAGGGTTCTTTTTTCCTTTTGTTGTGGTGACCTAGGTATAATCCAAATTCTGATATGCCCTGGGAAAACTCTGTGTTGAGACATAAGCCTTCAGTACTGAATTTAGTTAATCCACATAAATGAAGAGTTGTAATAATGGACTTGGTGTTACGTTATTGAGAGCTTCTCAGCAATCATGTTCTCTAGCTCATGAAATAAGTGAAATAATATTTCTAATTGGACACAACAAATTTATCTTAAACAAAGGGGTGAGAGAGACAGACAGACAGACCTAAAACCATCTTATCAGAGGAAGGAGGAAAAAAAGATTATACATTCCTGAGTTCTGTCTTTGATACAGTTGGAGATGGGTTATGTTTTTGCAAGTACAAGGATTAAGACTGGATTGTTACATGATATTAAGATTAAGTTTTATTATTTATGTTGGATGTGAATGGGAAGCAGTAGTAAATTGTATTTGGGTGTGCCAGAAATAAACTTGTGTTCTTTAAAAATGGCAGTATAGTACCTTGTTACTGACAAAAGGGGAGAAAATAATTTAATGGAAGGAAAATAAAACATTTATAACCTTAAATGAATTGAATTCATCAATAAAGAGGAAACAGAATTGATTAGAAAATAAACCTACAATTTGTTACTTCCAAGAAATAAATTTAAAGCAGAAAGACTCATATATATTCAAAGTAAAAAACTAAAACAAGGGCAGCTAGGTGGTGCAGTGCATAGAGCTCTGGCCTTGGAATCAGGAGGACCAGAGTTCAAATCTGACCTCAGACACTTGACACTTACTAGCTGTGTGACCCTGGGCAGGTCACTTAACCCTAATTGCCTCACCATAAAGAAAAAAAAAAGCTGAAACAAAACAGATTATGCTTAAGCTGAATGCAAATATAGGAGGAACTGTAAGCATAATTTTGGATATGGCAACCACAAACAACTCTAAGGGAGATGAGCAGGGAAAAGTTGAATAAAATGTTGGAAAAATTAAAACTTAGCAGACCTATGGAGACTTCTGAATGGGAATCTTAGAGAATATACATATATCTCATGCAACATATAAAAAACTGATTGTAAGCTAAAGATTTCAAATAAATGAAGGCAGAAATCTTAAATATCCTTTATAGATGATGGCATGATAAAATGTGATCAGTAAAGAAAATATGTACAAAATATATATAGACTTAAATGGAGATTTTAAAAATCTGACGGTCTAAATAATGGGTTAACATACCATAGAATCATAGAAACAACAAAAATTTCTTTGAGATTAAATTCCAAAATTTGTGGAATATAGCTAAAGAAATTCTTAAAAGAAAAACTGTATCCTTTAGCATTTATATTAACAAAAGAAAAAAAGAGAGGGCTGGTAAACTAAAGAACTAAAGAATGTATAATCCTGCCCTGGCCCTGACCACCAGGATTATAGATGAGAGAGAAGACAGACAGAAAGAAAACAAATGTGAGCTGAACCAAAGAGGGGGCAGTTATTACTACGAGTGACTCACCCCAAGTCTCATCATCTTGAAGTTAGTCCCAAGTCACTAAGAACCAGGGGAGCTCCCTGTGAACCTCTCAACAAGTAGCCTATTTGGCATATTACACTTTCATGGGGAGGTACCCCTCAGATGCCATAAAACAATAGATCTTGGCCTACAATCATATCAAGTGAATTAAGGAACTCATTATATTGACCAGAAACTTCCTTAATTTCACACGTCAATAGATTTCAATGATGTGGGTATTCTCTCCAAAGGTATAAATCATAGAAAATTGAAAGAGATCTCAGTGGGAATACAGTCCAACCCATACATAAATAGAATCTCCACTATAAGAGACCTACTAAGTGGTCATCTAGTCTCTGCTTGAAGACCTGCAAGGATGAGGAACCCACAACTTCTCAAGACAGCCTCTTCTCCTTTTGGACAGCAAATTGTTAGAAACTTTTTCTAGATATCAAGCCTAAATTGACCTCATAATTTACAGACATTGCCCCTGGTTCTGTTCTCTAAGGCCAGAAAGAACAAGTCTAATCTCTCCTTATAACTGCCTTTTAAATCTTTGAAGATAACTATCATGTGCCCTCTGTGTCTTTTCTTCCCCAGTTCCTTCGAATGATCGTCATGTAACATGGACTTGAGGCCCTTCACCATCCTGGCTGCTCTCCTCCGGATCCTCTCCAGTTTATATTAATGTCCTTCTTAAATCATGGTACCCAGAACTGAATACAATACAACTGATGTGAGCACTTGCACAGAAGGACTTATCATCTTTTTATTTCTGAAAGTTATGTTCCCTTCTCTAAATGTAGCCCAAGATCCAGTTAGCTTAATTTTTTTTTTGTTTGCTATATCACACTGCTCATTCATATTGAGCTCACAG